TCTGGCCCACGAAAGCTCATCATCTAATAAACCATCTTGTTAGTCTTTAAAGTGCTACATTGTCCTGCATTTTGAAGAAGCAGGTAAGATTTCCATTCTACCTCCATCAGCAAAGCTCAAGTCTCTGCCTAGGGGGCTGCATCTGCTCTTGGAGCAGGGTGGATGATTAGCAGATCATCAAGACTGCTTGTGCTACCTCTTATCTGGCTAGGCTGCTCAAAAATTGTGTCACATTGTTAACACAGATCATGCGTGCAGCTGTCTGAGCTAGCAACTCCAAGTACAACCCCAGCTGGAACATGGGGTGCATATACAGGGTGGCTAGCCCAGGACCAGCCCACAATATTTGGCCCCTGAGGCAGGGAGCACAAATGACGCCCCCATATGCACATATGCATCAGCAGCAGACACAATGTTCTACATTCTGGGTCCTAGTGACGCCCCTCCACAATCTGGCAAGTGAGGCAGCTGCCTTTCTTGGCCTCATGGTAGGACCAGGTCTGCTCTAGCTCCACCATCCTCCCTGCTGTCCAAGCCAATTCAGGGATATATGTACCTTGAAGAATGGATTCAGGGTAAATCATTGAGAATTGTTTGAGTTTTCTTGTCCTCCTTTACAAAAGGGAATAGTGTTCTTCTTTGAGGGCTTGTTCACACCTGTTCCACTCAGATGTGTATGTGCATTCTGTGCATTGGAGGATTTTTTCCTTCAGCAGCTCCTTGGCATGGTGCCATTGGCTGCGCTTGTATAGCACCACTGCCCTGAACCCTCCCTCGGTTTCTCCTACAATCTGAGTCAGCATTGGAAGAGGCTCTGTCACTCTCACTGGTTATTTGTTTTGTTTCAGAAAATCTGCAGATTGTGATACGTAAGTTTGTGTCTCCTTCCTCCTGCGTATTGTCTGGCGAACACACACTAATCTCGTATAGTAGAAAATGAGTAAATTTGTAGTTCAACTTCTCTGCACTTTATGATCCCTTTTCTTTGCTTGAAATTAGTGACACTGACTATTTCATGGCTCTGAGGATAATTTTTTGTTCTGGCATTTCTATGTGAACTTCCCAAGTATTTTTCAGTATGGCCAGCAGGAAATGTAACTCCCAGGAAAAAAATGTAATTCTTCTTCAAGAGGTCGCTGTGGATGCACCACTCTGAACCTTAATGCCATCACGGGGCTTCATTCACAGATTTTGAAGCAGTTCTTGCAGGGGCTGTGCATGGGTGGCACCAAACAGCCCATTCATACCAGGAAGCACCATGCATGTGTGTCCTGAATTCTCCAGTTCCTTCTCAAATGCCTTTGGCCTGAGATGCAGCTCCCTAGTTCCATGTTTTGTTGCATTTTTTTTGACAATTATAGTGGCTAGTTCTGTTTCTTGTTGACGATATCTAGTTATTTAGTTCGTAGTAGATAACAACTTTGTTTTACATCATGATAGATTCTCCAGGCTTCAAACTCTGTGTCCCTTCATAGAGGCAAAGCCCATTTTTGACAGATACTTGCAACGTGTCAGATTTCTGGGAGAACTGCATTCAACTTACAATGGCCCTTGGTGTCCCAAACTGAAGGCCAGGACTCCCAAGGACAGAGATCTGTGGTTAAAGCTGATTGTAATGAAGAAAAGTTTATACCCCGCCTCTCACCTGGGTGTACAACATAGGCGTACCACACCCTCAGGAACGTTGCTGAAGAAAAGAGTACAGGTTTACAGATGTTCTGTTGGTACTTAAGATGTGTGGTAATCTGTGACCAAATACTCAGTTGGATCAATACCCACTGAATATGTGCCATCTGGAAAACGGCCACGCCATGCTATTCATACTGTTAGTAGTTTAAGTGTCCACATTTTACGTTCTTCCTCCCCTCATTCTAAACACCAAAACTGGAAACGGTGACTGATTATGTTCTTTCTTTTGCAGAGCAACTGCAGAGAGAAAACGGTGAGTTTGTGTAAGCAGTAACACCCTGCTTTTCTATCCCTAACGTGTAATATATATTGTATATGTGTAAATATCATGTCCGCTCCCTAAAGATTCCATTTTACCTCATCAGGCTCCAAAATATCTAAAATGTGTCAGGTATCATTTTCTCTTTACGTAATTCAGTTGAAATCAGTTTGCTGAGTACGGAATTAATTCAATCTGCAAAATTAGATTTGAGGGTTCAAATCTGCATTACACATTAACAGGAACAAGGTTAATGCTTGCTTCCCACTGATGTTAGCAGAAAGTTCCCTTGCGAATGGGTGAATTTTGTCTCTAATAAACATGGAACAATCTCATTTTTAATTTAGGAATAACTTTTCCTTTCCTTTGGTGATTTGGAACCTTTTTTATATTTACATAACAAATCAAAAGAGAAATTTAAAGCTTACATGGAGTTATCCAATCATATTGGGGCAGAGTAAGTGTTTCAGAAAAAGAAAAGCGCATTCCTGAATCCAAAACTACTTCCTTCAAAGAATTATGTGACTAGACTCCCATTGTCTATACTGGGATCGGGGTCGAGCCATTAATTTGATAACAATAAATTTTGTACATTGAAAATTGTTCTTTGTGTTGTTCTTTTGCAGCCCAACTCAAGGAAGAGAAGGGTAAGTTGGTGGCAGCTTCTGCACTTTGAAGGTAGAAGGGTCTGTCATTTTCCCATTGAGGAATACAGCGAAGGCAGGATTTCTTTAATGCCTGCGACTACGTCTATAGTGCCGAGCATTTCCGATATACGTATCTTTGCATGCCTTTACCCAACTTTTCATTGCAGTCTAGACATAGCCTGAGAGGGCGGTATCCTTCTGCTTTTGCAGTCATTGGAAGTGAGTGAGTGTTGTACCTGGGACTGAGGAGAGTCAGGGTATTTCCATAGTCAGGTTGGTCCAGGTTGTCAGATGAGACTGCAAAGCCAGATTGTGCTTTTGTTGCTGGGTATCCTTCTGCTTTTGCAGTCATTGGAAGTGAGTGAGTGTTGTACCTGGGACTGAGGAGAGTCAGGGTATTTCCATAGTCAGGTTGGTCCAGGTTGTCAGATGAGACTGCAAAGCCAGATTGTGCTTTTGTTGCTGAGTTTATCAGGGAAATGTTTAGCAACTAGCTCCGCACTGCAGTGTGCAAACCTCTGTAAGTGTTAATCTACTCTAGGATTTACCAAAATATCTTTGGGGCAATTCTTCTTTAAGTGATTGGTCATACTTATATGGAGATGTAGGTGGCTCGCTCAGATATGATCCAGAGGGCTTATCATTCCATAACACTTCCACATTCGCTGTCATCTTCAGTCTTCATCCCTAGCAGTACTCATCAGTCAGCTGTGGAACACCATGGAGTGGCATTGTTATTGTGCTGTATATAGTCCTCTGTCAATCCTTCCCCATTTAGTTCCTTCTTACCACCAGGGGTAGATTGGAGTGCTAATGGGGAAGGATATGGGTGCTTAAGTTTTAAGTTCTCAGGGGTGCAGCAGGGCAAAGCCCATGCAGAGACTCTGTCCAGACCATGATACAGCAATGGGTCTCAAACAGACTCCTCCAAAGAGCTGCTCCCAGATCGAGGACCCATGTCCTGTGAAGAGCCCCCAAAGAAGTGATAACAGTCACACAGAAATATTTGCTAGGCCAAGAACCCATGTCTTCTGCAGAGCCCCCAAAGAAGTCATAACAGTCACACAGAAATATTTGCTAGAGCAGGAAATAGAACCCAGAAATTCTCCCTAGTGATCCAGTGAATTTACTACCAGACTGAGGGCTTTTCAAAATGTTTCCATAAGGACATATATGTTTTGAGAACAAACGAACAAACAAAGAAACAAAATCTGGGGGATTGAAAGCAAGCAAGCAGGAAAGTATTATAACTTTGTTTGTTTTTTTACTTTCAAAACGAAGGTACATTTATACTGAAATTATCCAAAGTGGGGAAAAAATCATAGTTTTAGGGACCCAAATGATCAAAAGTGGGGAAAAATCATAGTTTTAGGGACCCAAATGTTTTCATTGATGTAAAAATGTGTACAGGAAATGTAATCTGAATTTTCCTGTCTTAAGAACAAAAAGGAACAACACAGTCAATCAGATTTTGCTTTATGTTTCTTGTCCACATTTAGAAATCAAAAAAGAGTTTCCAGAAGCAGGTAAGATTTCCATTCTACCTCCATCAGCAAAGCTCAAGTCTCTGCCTAGAGGGCTGCATCTGCTCTTGGAGCGGGGTGGGTGATTGCATTACAGAAAGTCCAGCAAAGGACAATAAAATGATTAGGGAGCTGGAGCACATGACCTATGAGGACAGGATGATGGATTTGGACTTATTTAGTCTACAGAAGAGAAGAATGAGGGGGAAATGATAGTATCTTTAAATGCCAGAAGAGGGGTCCCAAAGAGGATGGAGAGGGAGTGTTCTCAGTGGTGACAGAAGTCAGAACGAGGAGCAATGGTCTCAAGTAGGGCTGTCAAGAGATTTTAAAAAAGCACAAGTAATCGAGTGATTTAAAAATGTAATGGGCGCTCTTGTGCTTTTCCACAAAAGTTCTTATGCAAGTAGCCTGCACTGTAGACATAGCCTTGGGGAATGAAAAAAAAGGATTGATTAATCTTTAAACCTCTCTCATCCTTCCCACTATTGATGAAGCAGTTTCTCTGGTTTGCATTGTGAATAGCATTGACACACTTGAGGTACATCTGAGAGCTGGTGCTCATTTACGTCCCCAGCTATTCTTTTAAACTTCCAAAGCAAATCTTCCTGCACTAAAGCATCAATGAAATGCAGGTCTTGGTAATACGGCTGCGCCCCTGGCTGCTCTTGTATACCACCACTGCCCTGAACCCTCCCTCAGTTCCTCCTACAATCTGTGTCAGCATTGGAAAAGGCTCTGTCACTCTCACTGGTTATTTGTTTTGTTTCAGAAAACCTACGGATAGCGATACGTAAGTCTGTGTCTCCTTCCTCCTGTGTATTGTCTGGCGAACACACACTAATCTCATCATACTAGCTTCTTTTCCAATTATGTTTGTAGTTTTGTTTTATATTCTGGCATTTTCAAGTGAACACCCCAAATCATACTCTAGGCCACGTAATTCTCAAGCAACCGGATATCACAGTAAAGAAAATGTACAAATCAAAAGGACTGAGCATTGTGAGTGACTATAGCGTACAATTCATTCAGTAAATAATAGCAAGACTCTTTCAATTTCTAAAAAACAACAAATGGTCTGGTAGCACTTTATAGACTAACAAAACATGTAGGTGGTATCATGAGCTTTTCTGGACACAGCCCATTTGCTGACACCTATCTTACGAGGGTTAGATTTGTGCCCTATGGACTTCGTTTCCACTAGCACATGACTGTAAAAGTTTCTGCTGAAATTGTACAATATAGAGGGGACCTAATCTCCCTCCCAGTGTTCTGGGCAGAAAAATGGGCATGTGACCAGCTCCTTAGAATGACAAGAGCTGACAAAGGCTCTTTCCCGCTAAATGGCCAATAACCATTGTCAACATTTGTATTAATCTTGCTCTACAGATGGCTAAACCATAGACGGCCATTCATTATTTTTCTCATGCTCTTTTCTCTGTGATTCTTTCCCAGAGCAACTCCGAAAAGCAAATGGTGAGTGTTCTGAATTACTCCTCCTTCGCAGGCTCCGATAGTCCCGCATGCAGCTAGACTGTTACATGGAAACTTCCATGGGTGGAGGATCTCTTGTGCAGCACAGAGTTGAGCCCTTGCTAGCCTTCTGCAAATCCATGCGCAGGGCTGTGTTGGACAAGTATTGAGGGAGCATGTCTGTTTTATCGCACATCTCTGGTTGGGGATCCTGCAGTTCAATGCTTCTTCAGACCTGCCTAGCTGGCAATCAGTGACACCCTCCAAACACCTCACAACTCCTCTGAGAGATGAGAAACCAGTCCTTCCCACCCCTCAAACTGAGCACCAGCCATCCCTCCAAGATACCCAGAGGAGTTCCTTGGAAATTTCAATTCAGTCTCCTGGGATTCAATGAAACTCTACTGGTTGGGTTCTGAGCCCCTTTCAGATTCTTGCCAGGTCCTCTTTGCCTGCTGCTTCATGCTGACACGTTAGAAAATGTGCCCCAATTTTTGGTACTCGGTTTCCAATACCTGATGATGAGCTCATCAAATCTTTGGCCCACAATGTTCTGATATCCCCCACGCATCCCCTACAGCGAGGCTGTAATTTTGCAGGGCCATGTCTACACTAGTTGATTATTTCAAATATACTAATTTTGACTTCTGGACACCCGATTTCACAACTTCACATTTCTGTCCCTTCGATATGGGCAAGAATGGATTGTAGTCTGAGACAGACTCTGTTGATGCGGATGTGGTACCTCACACTCAGAGCCCCAGGGCGTTACCTGTGGAGCTATGGGAGGCACCCCGGGGGCCCATTAGTTTTTATTATCTGCATTTGCATAAAAGTTCTGGAGAACCCTTAGTCCTCATGAAAAGCAGGACCATGGAGCTCGAATTCCTCAGCCCCTTCTACCTAAGTAACAGTTTTGAATTCATGTGGATGCTTCACTAACAAAATTTGAGTTTGGGGTCTTATTTCAGACGAACGTCCTTGTGTAGACCAGGACTAAGAATTTATGAACTGCCCCCTCTCTCCCTTGGGAATGTTTGGGAAATGTGGTTCAGTTGATCCCACCACCCAGGAAAAATGGCAACTGGGATTTACAGGGACCTCTCAATGGGAAGTTTCCACAGCATTCTGAGGCAACAGGAAGGGTGTGGGAATTTGTAGAGGAATGGTGGAGCAACTTTGCCTCCCTGCAGAGCCCTTGAGAATGGCAGGAGTTGAAAGAGACCTGGGATTCAGACCTCCTCTGATTAGCCAGCAACAGCAGTTTGACCTTAACTCTCTGGGGAGCAGGATTTCCGTCCAATGTCTATGTGTGTCTTAAGGATAAAAAGGAACAACACAGTCAATCAGTGATTTTGCTTTATGTTTCTTGTCCTCATTTAGAAAGTAAAAAAGAGTTTCCAGAAGCAGGTAAGATTTCCATTCTACCTCCATCAGCAAAGCTCAAGTCTCTGCCTAGGGGGCTGCAGCTGCTCTTGGAGCAGGGTGGGTGATTAGCAGATCATTAAGACATGCTCGTGCTACCTCTTCTCTGGCTAGGCTGCTCAAAAATTGTGTCACATTTTTAACTCAGGTCATGTGTTCATGTGTACAAGCTAGCCACTCCAAGTACAACCCCACTGGCTCCTGGGGGGGCATATACAGGGTTGCTAGCCCAAAATCAGCCCACAATATTTGGCCCCTGAGGCAGGGAGCTCAAATAACGCCCCCATATGCACATATGCACCAGCAGCAGACACAATGTTCTACATTCTGGGTCCTAGTGGAGCCCCTCCACAATCTGGCACCTGAAGCGGCTGCCTCTGTTGGCCTCGCTAGCCCTGCTCTAGCTCCACCATCCTCCCTGCTGTCCATGCCAATTCAGCGATATCTGTACCTTCAAGAATAGATGCAGGGTAAATCATTGAAAATTGTTTGAGTTTTCCTGTCCTCCTTTACAAAAGGGAGAAGTGTTCTTCTTTGAGGGCTTGTTCACGCCTGTTCCACTCAAAAGTGTATTCGTCTTCTGTGCATTGGAGGTTTTTTTCCTCCAGCAGCTCCTTGGCATGTTGCCACTGCCTGCTTTTGTATACCACCACTGCCCTGAACTCTCCCTCAGTTCCTCCTACAATCTGTGTCAGCATTGGAAAAGGCTCTGTCACTCTCACTGGTTATTTGTTTTGTTTCAGAAAACCTACGGATAGCGATACGTAAGTCTGTGTCTCCTTCCTCCTGTGTATTGTCTGGCGAACACACACTAATCTTGTATATTAGAAAATGGTTAATTGTATAGTTCAACTTCTCTGCAGGGGCTGTGCATGCGTGGCACCAACTGGCCCATGCAAACTAGGAGGCATCATGCATGTGTTTCCTGAGTCCTCCAGTTTCTTCTCAACTGCCTTTAGCCTGAGATGCAGCTCCCCAGTTCCCTGTTTTGTTGCGTTGTTTTTTTTTTTTTTGACAATTCTGAAATTATTTAGTTTCTTAGTTCCTGCTCTTGTTGACGTTATCTAGTTAATTAGTTCTTAGTGTTAACAACTTTGTTTTACATCGTGATAGATTCTCCAGGCTTCAAACTCTGTGTCCCTGCACAAAGGCAATGCCCATTTCTGACAGACACTTGCAATGTGTCAGATGTTTGCGAGAACATTTGCCCTTGCTGTGCCAAACTGAAGGCCAGGGCTCCCAAGAACAGAGATCTCTGATTAAAGCTGATTGTAATGAAGAAAAGTTTATACCCCGCCTCTCACCTGGTTCTAAAATCTAGGTGTACCACCCCTCAGGGACGTTACCCAACAAAAGAGTACAGATTTACAGAGGTTCCGCATGTACTTAATATGGGTGGTAATCTGTGACCAAATACTCACTTGGATCAAAACCCACTGAATAGGTGCCATCTGGAATATGGCCACGTCATGCTGTTCATACTGTTAGTAATTGAAGAGTCCACATTTTACATTCTCCTTCCCCCCGTTCTAAAAAACAAAATTGCAAATGGTGACTGATTATGTACTTTCTTTTGCAGAGCAACTGCAGACAGAAAAAGGTGAGTTTGTGGA